TGTTGATATAAGACTAGATTACGTAAAGCTATGTAATAAGGGGTGGTATTAAATAAAACGGCAAATAAATTGTTGATAATGAGACTAGATTACGTAAATCTATGTAATAAGGGGTGGTAGAAATAAAACGGCAAATAAATTGTTGATAATGAGACTAGATTACGTAAATCTATGTAATAAGGGGTGGTAGAAATAAAACGGCAAATTAATTGTTGATAATGAGACTAGATTACGTAATGCTATGAATAAGGGGTGGTAGAAATAAAACGGCAAATATGTTGTTTCATGTGATTTTACTTTCTGTTAGTTATTTAGGCTAATTTTGGCAAATGTTAAGGTTCTAAATCTTCCAAAATTACGTCTGTCATAAATTTACAAGCACATAGATAATATATTCAAATATATCAACATTGCTTTTTTAGGAAAAATAACATTCAGCAAAATGTTGAAGTGGGGAATTTTATCATCAGCCAATATCACTAAAAGATTTATACCTAGACTGTTAAAATCGCCGAGAAGTCAAGTCACCGCAATAGCAAGTCGAAGCATCGAGAAGGCTGAAAGCGTGGCCAAAGAGTGGGGCATACCAAAAGCATATGGTAGTTATGAAGAATTGTTGACTGATAGTGAAATAAATGTTGTGTATGTTCCCCTACCACATGCATTACATGCTGAGTGGGCAGTTAGAGCGGCAGAGAGTGGAAAACACTGTATGGTGGAGAAACCTATAGCAACAAAGGTATTGCGTAAATGAAAATAACATCCTGGAATAAAATTACATATTTGTTTTTAAATAAAAGATTTCTAGCGGCATGTTTTGGCCTGTTCAAAATGACACAATATTAATAACTGGTTTTATTCTATTAAATATAATTTTTTCATAGATATCTGATGTTCAGAGAATGCAGAGAGTTGCCATGGAAAACAAGGTTTTGATTGTTGAAGGTTTTGTACATTTATGTCATCCACAGTTTAAAGCTATTCAAGAGACAATAAAATCAGGTATTTTATTCATTTATGTTTATTCATTCGTTTTTTTAGGTTTTAGATATTTTAATGTTATTGACTCAGATCATTTGTAACATATTACGTCATCACAGGTAAAATTCCTCAGTAGTTTTATTCAGAGGATTCTTTGTGTGTTTTTTTTGGTAATCACTATGCAAGTCAATTGCAATCTACTGTAATCATATGTTTATTGTAACCATTAACCATTAGGGATTATTGGTGATGTTCAGTTTATGACTGGTTCATATGTCGGAGGAGTTTCTAAAAGAACAGATGGGTCGTTGTGGCTACTGGGTTGTTACCCTGTCAGTATGATGATAGGCCTCCTGAACGAAAAACCACGCAGAGTAACAGCCATGGAGTGCAAAACGGAAAGGTTGGTGTTGTTAAAATAAGAAACAAACATATATAGATATAATAATTGTAATGTTTAAGAAATAATTCATAGCTCTCAACATGGTTTTAATTTGTGTCAACCGTACTATCGAACCAAAAAATGTCAGATCGACATTGCTTGGTGAACACGTCTCCAATGACTAGATGTAAACTTGACAAGCTGAATTTCAAACAACACAAACCAAACATAAATATAACAATAATAATGCTTGAACAAGTACTATTCTGTGTAACGCCCACCAATTTATACATATCTATTCACTTTAAAAACATGTATCTTTCAGGGGTGTGGATGGTTCATTGTACGGAATTCTGCAGTTCAACAATGGTATCCATGGATGTATTACATCTAGTATTACGTCGTCGAGTGATAGCCATTTTGAAATTAATGGTAGCAAGGGCAGAATACGAATTCATACAAATTCGGCTTATCACCCTGATGCTTACGGCGTTGACAACTTGTTTGATCTTTGCATTGAAGGCCAGCCAATGAAAACTATCACTGTGCCAAAAATTGATGCATTCCTGGCAGAAATTGCAGCATTTGAATCTTCGATATTAGACGGGAAACCAACACCCGTTCCATTGGAGCACAGTCATCAAGTTGTTTCTACTATATTGGCATTATATGCATCAGCCAAAAGACAAGGAATTGTGATTACTTTGTGAAAAAATGTTCATATCAGTAGATTAATTCCTTAAATATAAGTCTTTTCATTATATGCTTAGTATGTACCATGCATTTTCACTTTTTTTATTTCACTTATTCCTTTTTGTGGTGAGTGATTTTATCTTATTGGTAATTATCTGATGGCAAACGCCCGAAGATCTGAACATCCTCCACATAAGATCGTTTTCAACTTTTGAATACTTCAATAACTATTCAAAGAAGACATGCATTAAAATACAGACAGTGGACATTTTTTATCAGATAGGCACTGATTTCAGAATGTAATGGCACAAGTTCGCAATAATGTAGACAACAATGTAAATGGTAAACAACGATAACATAGAAACACTAATATTGTAAACATCAAATGCACTGAGCTGTTTTTTTATGTTTTATTTTTAACTTTTTTATTCGGGTAATCCATAACGTGTGTCATCGACATGGTAATCCTTGACATCGTAGTAATCGACATTGTAATCATTATCATCAATACGTAATCATTGACTTCATCATCATCGATATCCTAATCATCGACATCATAATCCTCGGTGTTATAACATCGTAGTCATTCACATCATTATCGACATCGTTATCATTGACATTATCATTAACATCATAATCATCAACATTGGAATAATCGACATAATTATCATCGATATTGAAATCATTGTTATCATTATCATTGACATCGTAATCATTGATATAATTATCATTGACAGCTGTCACGGGGTAGGCTAGCATCCGACCACAAAGTGATAAGAGGCACGCCTTCACCTCGTGTTGTGGGTTCTTTGATACCCTACTGATTGAAATATCGAAAATAAGCCAGCTGATGCCTGGATTGTCCCCTGTACAACTTATTATACCAGTCCCACTCGCACACAATGAAATGCTCAGTAATATCGTAAAGGATGGTTTAATTGTACAACCGGTTATGATACACAGAATTCGCTGATATGAATCAACGTAACAAAGATATAAGTAGCTGTACAATAGGAAAAATTAACACGCATGTCAGGGCAGGATAAAGCAGTGGCGTCCCGTGAATAACCAGTTTACTCAACCCGAAACCGGGTTGATTCACAATAGGCAATGCACCTTTTACGTATGGAACGACGCCGCTACTTAACTGCGCCGACGGGCGCGCGAAACGTTGAAGCAGGAAACGGGCTGTCACAAAATACAATTAAACTAATACTGTTACAATTTCAAATAAGAATACAATAATTTAACCACTAAATTAGCCAAATAGTTACCAAAATACATTCAAAACACAGCCAATGGTCCCTAGCCTAATGTGCGTGTAATGAGCGTGATAATTACCGGCTTCTGTCGGGTTATAGTAGAAACGTTGCTACATGTAGATTCAGTTCGATACTCAGGCCTGGTTTCTCGTAGGATACCTTGTAGGATTCGTGTCGAACACAAAAGTTCCATGGAACAGCACGTAGAAAAGGAGTCCAGTCTTCCACTGTATCTACACAACGTCCGTCGACTAGGCGAGTAGCTTGCACACCACGTGGGGATGAACTAACTCTCCCCATTCACTCACAACACAAGGCTGGCTCTGGTTGCTGTCGCTGCCTCAGTTCTTAATGTTCTCTCCCGCGGCTGCGTCTACCTTGACCTTTTATAACGTCCCCCACCTGGAATCATTGTTATGGCAACTGAACAATAGCCGGCACATGTATGGCACGCGTCTCTTTATGAATGTTTTTTGGGGTGTGTAAGTGTTTCAAAGTCTACTAGCTCGGCTCTGAAATAATCCTACCTCTGGCTGTATTAAAATATACCTTTTGGCCAAACCCTAAATTTAACCCACAGGTATACCATCACGAACCTTGTGACCATAGCGTAATTATCAACATTATAACCGTCAGCCTGGCCACTTTGGAATTGAGAGCTGTTGTGGAGGTCATTAATATGCAATGAAATTATAACTAAGCCAATGTGGGATGTTCTCGGGTCATCTAAACCAATATAGAAAGGGCTTAGATTCTCTAAGCCAATGTGACAAGCGTTGACGCTCTCTAAGCTAATGTGACAAGGGTTGATGTCCTCTAAGCCATTATGTCAAGGGTTGATGTCCCTAAGCCAATTGACAAAACTGACGGGTTGATTTCCCCTAAGCGTATGTGACAAGGGTTGATGTCCCCTAAGCCAATATAACAGCGCTTGATGTCCTTGTTAGCACCTCTATGTTTTTGTCATATTATGTCTAACCCTGCAAATAGAAGTGTGCATGGAATCATGGGAAGACACTGTGTCCATTGCCATGTGATAACTGTCATGAAGGTGATTGACAGGTCTTACTTGTTCACAACTCTGGAAGGACAATTGGAATCAACCAGTTGTGTTTGTGATTTACATAACAAGGGGTGTTTACAACTCTGGAAGAACAATTGGAATCTACCAGGTGTGCGTGTGATTTAAATAACAAAGAATGTGTACGATCAACTGACTTGCCTATGCGAGATATCTGCTAGCAAGATCACATTCTGATTGACTCACGTGGAAACCCAGGTGGTGTACCTGAATCTGGGCCATTTATGTCTATGAATAGGCTAGACTGGGGACAGTTGTGGTCCATCATTTCAGCTGAGTACCCTAGGTGTTGCTGCTGCGATACTGTGAGACAAATGATACTTGTTTCAATCATCGTTCTGTGAGATTTGTATGAACTGCTCTGTGATCTCCTGCTATCAGCAGTGTCCTGCGGAATAATAGCATTTCTCTGCATGCAAGACATTGACATCTTTGACATTGTGTAGCAGAAGCCATTGACTGTCATCAATTTTCACATTCATCACCAATGCACACTTCCCTAGGCAATCCCATATTTTAGTGAATTTAGTCATTGTATTCTGTGCTTTGTTTCTTGTAATTATTTTGAGATGTATTAAAGCCAAAAGTTTTCTTGTCTACCCCATTCTAACATTGAATGAGCCCAGTGAGTTCTGTGGGTGCCTCTCTCAATAGCAATAAGCAGACCTTGTGGGGGTCACTGTTTTTCTATATGCTTATCACTCAATGTTTATAAATGCTTAGATTTAAGGCATCCATGTCTGTTCACATACGTTGTCAACCAGTTAACCTAAATTAGCTATGTGCTTCAAGTCAACATTAATAAGACGTTGTTTCTATTGTCAATTTCCTTGGCCAATCTGATAAAGGTAAATTAGCTGTTGATATTTATTTGTTAATTGTGTAATTTACTAATGTGTCATCGTTTTATTGCAGCAAAACCGATGAGACAATATTGATATTCAGAAGTTATTTGTGAGAAAATACAGATGATAACTTGTTATTTTAGGAAAAGCAGTATTGGATTTCGTTCAATCACGTAGTAATAGAAAAGTGTTCATACTTCAAATCGCGCATTCATTATTTTTGTGGGATTACTGTCGCCGAATTTCGTAAAATTGGATTTGCCAATATACTAAATTTTAGTTCATCGAATTTCAAATATATTTTTAGAATTTTTGTAACATCTAGAATATCCAAAATAGGGACCTTTTGACTTGTTACCTATTTGTATTCGTCACGTTGCGGACGTTGAACAAAATTAAAATTCACAATTTTCGTCAAATGCAAAAACTGGACGATTTTCAGGGACAACCAAGTGACTGAATGTAATGACCCGAAACTCTACAAGCATTTATTTGATAGACAATACATAGATGTACATTGGACCGGAAGTTGAATGAGAATTATTATTCGCTTCGTCACGTAGCGTACGATGAACAAAGCTAAAATTCACAATTTTCGTCAAATGCAAAAAATGGCCTATTTTCAGGGACAACCAAGTAACTGAACGTCATGACCCGAAACTCTACAAGCATTTATTTGATACACAATACATAGATGTATATTTGACCGGAAGTTGAATTAGAATTATTGTTTACTTCGTCATATAGCGTACGTTGAACAAAGCTAAAATTCACAAGTTTTGTCAAATGCAAAAAATGACCTACTTTCATGGACAACCACGTGAACGAACGTCATGATCCGAAACTCTGCAAGCATTCATTTGATGGAGAATACATATATGTACATTTGACCGGAAGTTGAATTAGAACTATTGTTCACTTCGTCACGTTGCGTACGTTGAATAAAGCTAAAATTCACAAGTTTCGTCAAATGCAAAAAATGACCTACTTTCATGGACAACCACGTGAACGAACGTCATGACCCGAAACTCTGCAAGCATTTATTTGATAGAGAATACATAGATGTGCATTTGACCGGAAGTTGAATTAGAATTATTGTTCACTTTGTCACGTTGCGTACGTTGAACAAAGCTAAAATTTACAATTTTTGTCAAATGCAAAA